TATAGCATTGCTTAAATATTAGCTTGTGTTCAATAAATTAAGATTTGAAACTAGAATAGTATCACTGATCATTTCATTTCCATTCACCCCACCCCTTAACTAAATGTAATACAATATAGTCTGCACTTGCTCTTAAAGTGATTATCGTCCTTCTTTTCCTTCCTTATGCAATGAGGCCTCATGGTTTCTATTACTGTCTCCTAACTTATTTAGGTGCCTTATGGAAAAAGAGACTTGGGGAAAGGGGGAAAATCTGAGAGTGATCCCTCCATGCCATTTACCCTAGATGAAATGAGGAATGCTGGTGAGGAACAGAGCTTTAGGCAGTGCTTCCAAAGCTGCTGCTCCCTCTGTATTGATGGCAGGCTGACATGAGGAAGTACTTCCAGCCCTGGTGAGGGGCAGCTGAGAAGAGTCTGGAGCATTGTGGGGCAGAAGACACTGGAGAACTCTCCCACCTGTTTGAGCATGCAATTGGCAACAGCCAAGGAGCACAAACTATGTGTATGGGCAATTGGAGAGTCACTGGCCAAGACAGATACTGAGTGCCAGGACACCATAGTTGCTGACCTGGCTGTGATGGATGGTTATGACTAAAGAAGAGACAGATCAGAAGTGGCATGGGCAAGCTGGGAGCTGAGTAGGGGCTATCTGGTGTAGGAAGCAACTCTCAGGGGTTTGTTTGCTCATCAGACATGAAATTAGCTCATGAGGAAAACAATATAGAGGGGTTTGTTCTGTGCCCATAGGATTGAATATAGATTCATAGAGGAAGAAATCCAGGGGAGTTTGTTCTTTGCCCCATAAGGCTGAAAATCAATTGATATGTGGAATTACCCTGAGACATTCTTTTTTCTTTTTTAAATTTGGACTCTGCTCCTACTTTTGGCATATGTTGCCTTTGGTGGGTGGGATTGGCACAAAGGGGCACCAGGTAGGGCACTTGTCTTTGATCTGGAGGACAAAGCTTGCCTGGTGGGATTAAGGCTGGTTGGTGGTAACCTGATGAAAAGGAAAAGGAACCAGGAATTGATTCTCAGTTGACCTGTGCCACATGTTAGCAGAGGCAGGGGCTTTACCCTTCCACCACCCCCAAAATCAGAACATTATACAAAATTAAGGAAGTGGTACAGGTGGTATATAGGGAGGTGGAGCCCCATGAAAAAGACTCATTCAACAAGCCAAAGGTATCACTCAGCAGAACTAGCTCCCTAATAGCTGGAAGATCAAAGTCATGGTAGGGGAGAGAAGAACATACAAGAACACCTGGGCGATAGCATGGTTCCTTCCACCTCGTTGTCATTGGCAGAAGGACATCAGGCTGGTGGAGATGCAGGCCTTACAGCATCTACTCACAACAAAGTGGTACACTGGCTGGGAATCTTGAACCACTCCCAGTCCAGGTCTAAGTTATCAATCAGCAGCTGGGGGCAATGGTGGGGGCAGAGGCTCTCCAGCAGACCCTGAATCTCATGTCATAAATTGTACAACAATAACAGTAACAGGCTGCATGTCAGATCACTGGATGAAATTATAGTCCAACAGCGGGAATTGGTTTAGCAGAGTTTAAAAGGCTTTAAGATCCCAAAGATGACACATGAGGATGACCCAGAGGCCTTCCTTGAGATTTTTGAACATGCAACAGTGGCGGCTGAGCTGGACAAAACCAAGTGGGCCAGTCAGCTAGGAGTGCTTTTGATGGGCAAGGCCCAGGTGGCATACCAATCCATGTTCAGAATAGAGGCCCAAGCCTATGATACGCTGAAGGAGGAGATTCTTTATCATTCAGATATGACACCTGAAAGATACTAGCAACTGTTTCAGATGAAAAAGGAAAGGGAAGATAAGTCTTCAAGAATGTTGCTACAAAACCTGACAGACGTGCTAGATAAATGGCTGAAACCTGCAATTACATCTAAAGAAGAAACTATTAACACCATTCTTCTTGAAGAGGTGGTAGAGTCCTCCGGCATCTTCTGCCCCATGATACTGCAGACTCTTTTTGGCAGCCCGTCACCAGAGCCAAACGTACTTCCTTGGGTCACCCCGCTACCAATACAGAGGGAGCAGTGGCTCCAGAAGTCTTGCATAAAGCTCTATTCCCTGCTAGCATTACTCATTTCATCTATGGTAAGTGGCATAGAGGGATCACTCTCAGGATTTTCCTCCTTCCCCAGGTCTCTCCTTCCACATGCCTAAATGCAATCATATTTCACCCTGTTTGAGTCTCAGAAAAAAATGGGTGGAATAGGGGCCTATAAGTAAATCTTCATCATCATTAGGAATATATAAACATATATACATGTAAGCACACATTCATATATACATTATATGTATGTTAAGTATCGTGCTTTCCTTGATTTTAGAGACATGATATATTTTTTAACCAATAACCAGTGTACATGTTTTGTAAAATTGCATCTTTTCTACAACTATAAATTTGGTTCTTGGGTCAAAAATCCAATTTAAATTGTGTTTGCTGACTAGTAAGGAAGATAAGTAAGTATTAAAGAAACACAATTACTTTAAAACATTTCATGCCTTGGATGAAAAGGCTCAGGTGTAAATCATTGTATAGAACTCTGCTGGCTACAGAGATAAGATATGACTGAATGAAGAGTTTATTTTAAGATGAAGTGTACGTTCTTAATCTTTGGATTTCATGAATTTAACAGATTAATTTTTTTTTAATTTTGCTAGCCTATTGAAGATTTTCTTTGAGAAGAATCCTCTATAGTATCTATAGAGGCCTCTCTATGCTTAAGAGCACATTTATAATCATAGGGAACCTGAGTTCCAATTTCTAATTTACTGCTGGGATGCTTTGTTTTGATTGCAGACATATAAGATGATCATTCCAAACATAAAATTCTTGGGCTACATCAACCTCAGAAATAATCTCATAACATTTTTGAAATATGCATTATTTTTAAGGTTGCATAAATTATTTTATGATCATTAAATATATGTACCTTTATTGAATAGTAAAGAGGTTGGTAAAATGATTGTTTAATTTTCTATTCTAATTTTATTTTATAGTGTAGCTGAACAGTGAGTCGAATGGAACATGAACAATGGCCATGAATGACAAATGAATGTAACCAATTATATTATATGCTTAAGTATTTTGAAAAGGCAAGGCCAGAGTCAACAACTAGAGAATATAGATTTTTTTAAATGTACATTTCACAGAGCTATTCTGGAAAGCCAATGCTTGGAAGGGAAGCAATACACAGTTTTTCTTTACATAATAGGTGCTTGGAATATGGAAACAAAATAGTGTATAAGAAAATAAAAGCAACATACATTTATTTTAGAGGAACATGAGCATATTTTTTTAAAAGAAACAATTACTGCTGCAAAATACACGTAAAGGCTAAAAATAAGATGAGCATCCTGAGGCTAGCTTTTTCATATTTATGGGATTTACAAGGGCAGACTATGCCAGACCTTATGGTCTTATCCACAGTTTATGCTCTGAAGTCTATATAGCCTCAGACTTGTTTGTTATCTTCCCCACCCCCCCCCCCCCCCCCCTCTGCATTGACCAGGCACTAATTCATTTATGTTCATGGGTGGTTATAACTTGTGTAAAGAAAATTTCCTCTCATCTCACTGTATTAAGAACTTTTGTGCAATAAAGGTAATTCTTTTTTCTAAGTCAAGGGCGCATTTTGCATAAACAAGGTTACACTGCATGCGCAAATAAGCATGTTCTATATATTTTTATGGAAGCATTTACTTGCTGAGCCAAGTTCAGCACGCTAGACATAGTAATATTGAATATTTCAGCTTCCACAAATCAAATGTTTGTCATGTTCTCTCTCAACTAGTAAACTATAAAGTGTTTGAAAATTGGGTCCCAAAAATTAGAATCCAATAGCTGCTTGCAGTATCTGTACTGTCATATAAAACACTCCTATTGCATCTCCACTCTACAAACCTTCTATATTCTGCACATAAGCCAGCCTGGACAACCTTGTTTTTCTACTTCTCCAATAAATGTCATTGCGCCTTATCTGATGTTCTCTCTTATTCACAGCCCTGACTAGACTCTTTTCCTTCAAATCCCTTCTCAAGACCCAGTTCTGCTATGATACATTCAAGATATCATCCAATCCCTAATGCCTAGGCTACAGGGCAGTAGAAGAAAATGATATTTGTAGGATTAAAGAACAGAAAACAAATGAAGCCACTCAAAAACTTAAGCACCTTGATCAGGTGGATCTATATATATATAAATAAAAGTTGTGCAAATGTATGTAAATATATACCTACATCTAATTGTCCTATCTTCCTATCTCTACATTATCCTATATTCTTAATACATGCTTATTTTCTTAGATTGGCAATTCAATTACCACATGTGCCATTATGTTGGTACATCAATAACAACCCATGTCCTATCTGAGCTGTTAGGCCAGGGACAGAAGTTACACATAAACTGGTATAAGTGATCAGAAACAGGTTCAGCTCTAACACAACAGAAGTTCAGTGCATGTAAACTGCTTTCAAGATGGCTGAAACCAGGTTAAAATAAACCTGGGTGGATGTAGTATCAGACTTAATTGAGTTAGGTGAAATCAGTTTATTGAACTTCTGTCTCAGATCCCCTCTAGTTTCAAGTCAACTCATGGTTGCCCAACACCCCAGGATGCTTTTCACCTCCCCTGCAACCTTCCTTCCCCCCCACAACTTGCATGGTGGGAAGACTAGCCTTGGCCCAAGCTTCCTTCTCCAGTCTGCTCTAGCACAACCCCCTCCCCTCGCCCCCGCCCAGGCTTCTGGCCTGAGCCACTGCAGGCATGTAGCTGCATTTCCAGGCTCAAAATGAATATCTGTTCATTTTCTTATTAATTCAATCTTAAACTTACCTGAGAAGATTGAATTGATTCAGCCTCAGGCTCTCTCAGTGTCTGTACTTAGCCTTAATATTAGTATTTTATATTTAATAAAAATATATATATTTAGCACATCTGCACACACCCTTGAGTTCTCACCTTCTCTTAGACTGCTTCATAGCTCTTCACATTGGAATAATCAATTACAATAAAAACCACCTAGATTAGGAGCCAGGCAGAGATGGAATTGTAATAGTTCACTCCTTGCTTTGCTTTGTTCATGGAGAAATAAGCGGAGTCTGCCCATTCTTGTCTACCCATATGGGAGATGGCGTATCAGACTGGTATCCCATTGTCTCCTCCAGGGGTCTGCTTACTCCCCTTTATTTTCTTGTGATGTTTTGCTCCTGGCTGAGTCCAGAATATTTATGTGCTTTTAAAGGCATTTATACCACTCTCACATGAAGAATGTTCTAGATAGAATAAGGGATCAGTTGATTAAAATATGATTAGACAATGTATATGTTAAAAATATACTGTGCAGTTTTTAAAAAAATAAACAATATATATGCACATTTCTTGGACCTGCTGTTGTAGATGTGTTTCTCTTTAAGATACGTAACTGAGTGCTCTTTTTCCATGAAAGGTTTTGTCCTAGTGATTATTCTTCCCCTCGCTTCCATGGTTACATTAAGTAGACAATCAACAACACACAGTTCACTGAGTTGCAATACACCAACAGTTTGTTTAAGCATGAAAGCTACATCTTTAAATAGATTGTTCTATCAATTACTAAGTCTAGTGTTTCAAACGCATATACTAATGGTTTAGAAAGAAAATAGGTTCATACATGGCTAGGAAGGCCATCTGCTATCTTATGTAGTTACAGAAAATTTGATGGTTGCACCTCCCTTTTTACTTTTCTCTGCTAGGTTCAGCTGCTTTCTCCTCACAGTTTACCACAATATATTAATAGTCCTACTTAATATGGAAACAACAGAGTGGCTTTGTACCATTGAGATTTTAAAGGAAAATAGCAGCACTGATGGTTTGGGGTTTTTTGTATGTGTGTTTTGTTCTCCCACTTAATGTTCAACCACAATGTGAAGCTGTACATTTAATTTCCTTATTATAACTTTAAAGACCCTGCAGATAATTTACTAACAAAATGCAGTGCAATTCAATTTTACACTCAAAATGACAGGGTTCTTTCCCCCCTAAACCTCTAATATATTTTTTTAATTAAGAAAATAGCAATTTTGAAAATCTGAATCTTCTATTGTGGATTTGCCACAATCTACCCCAAAGTAAAGAGCATGGTTTAAACGCAAAACTTTCAATCCTATGATGCAAATACAAGACACCTGGAACATTAGTTAGCTTCACAAGCAGGCAATTATCCTCCTTTTAGACTGACTAGTAATGGAGAGACCCAACAGCAATTTTGCCACTAGATTAGGAAAAGAAAGGGAGACAGGCAAGTCATTTACTCCCTGAACAAATACCATGCAGATAGATGCTCTATACCATTATCTGTGCATAATACTGGCTGCACCTACACAAGACGCTTACTCTGCAGTAGCATGTTACTACTATGCAGTAGCTTGTTACTATTGTGCAGTACTGTCACCACACTACTGTGCAGTAAGTATCATTAGGCAACTGTGCTGGGATGCTACTGCACAGTAATGCTGGTTACTGTACAGTCATTTAGTATTTAATTATGCAAGGGCTAAATGACTGTATAGTAAGAACTGCACAGTGGGCGGCTTGTGTAGATGTGCCCACTATCTCTCAAAAGGGTTAAAGCAGTAACAACATAAGCAGACGGGTGATGCCAGCATCTGGATACTATAGAAAAGGTTCTGCCTAACAAAACCCTTTGAGAGAAGGGGAATCAAAGTACCAAAGGTACATTATTGTACAATTTAATGTGAGTAATGTATCTCAATTTTATACCTAAGCCCAAACACATATATGAATGTGTCATATGTTACTCATTCCAACTGACCATTTAAAAATTACTTATAAAGTTGCTTGTGCTAACAATGTAAATGTCACTTTGTTAAAATAAATAAATAAATAGAAAAGTAAATTAAAAAATGAAATTATGATAAAACGGTTGAATTTCCAAGGTAGAAAATGTTGACATTTCTATAGTACTGCTCCAGGGTTTTTAGCAATATTACTAATCCAAACTTTCCTCCCTACATTTATTACCATTTAAAAAAAACAAAAAACCCAGAGTCATTAAACTTTCATAAATTTCATCTTATGCCTGTTGTTTTCCTCGTTCTGGCTTCTTTATCTCACCTGCTTTGAAGGCTGCTTTGATTTCTGCTTTAGAACACCAAGAACTTCAAGTGCTGTCACAGCATATTCCCTGATCAGAGACTAGCTCCTGTTGAAATATATGTCTTTATCCAGTTGGATTCTTTTTATAGCAGTCTGAAAATTGACAGAGTCATTCAATAAAAGCTGCAGCTACTAGCATATCACATGGTGAAGAATGACCAAAGGGTGCCTATTTACAATTTATTTTGCCAATGAAATACAGTGAAAAGGTGATCCCAAATTTTCACAGCAAACATCAGTGTAAATGACAGCAACCAGATAAGCCATTTGTGGTGCTGTAAGCAATTAAAGTATCTCAGATTCATGTACTAATAAGTCAGAAATCCTGTATATTTGCCATGAAAATGTACCATTCCTTTCACAACTTAAATGTGTACAAAACATTGTAAGTGAAAGTAATAGACTCCTGGCCCACATCCAGATGAGCACAGCTATGTGGTATGTGGTGCTGCAGACACACCTGTGGCACCACATACCACACATTCTGGTGTTCTCTGCACTGAAGGTAGCAGTGGGGGGTATGGGGGTTTGATCCCAGGAGATCCCGGGGTCAAAAAAACCTACACAAAAAAAATTAAAATGGGGTAGCATACATGGGGACAGGGAGCACCACCCAAAAACGGAGCCTGGCCAGCCAGAGCCATGCTCCAGCTGCCAGCCAGGCTCTGAATGGCAGGATTGCCACTTCTACAGCCCCAGGAGGCCCCCAGTGCCGGCTCCAGCCTCCTTTATCCCACCTGTGGTAACCTGCCACCTACCAGACAGCACATGGCACAGACGTCCCCTGGGAACAAGTAACAGCAGCACAGGGTGCACCACTGCTTCTTGCTCCATTGAACAAACATCCATACTCATGTGGACATGACCCTAGATTCTGTGCGTATATTGAAAATTGTTTTTTCCAGCGATTTAATTTAATTGAATCACAAAGGACTGGATCGTTGAAGCCTTTCTTCAAGGCCCCTTACTTATCAGCTCAGGCTCGCCACATGGCAAATCTGTACAGGATCGGAGGAGCAAAAACCTATTCAAACAATATATCTTATGGCAGGCAAATGGGCAAGGAAGGGGCTTTTCAATGGCTGGCAGCTGGAGAAGTGGGTAGAACAAACAGGAAAGTAAAATGAACTGTTCCATGAAACAGTGATATTTTCCCCAGTCTGAACATAGGTATAACTATATGTCATTATCCTCCTTGAGACTATTGTGAAGTTACAGTATAGCTAAGGTTGAGGTCCTGATCAGTCTGGTCCTATATTGACAATACTGGAAATTGGTTTAAAAAAAAAAAAGTTGCAACTTTCACCAAATCCTCTCATTTCAGGAATTTTTTTACTAAGGGCTGGAGTTTGGAGTAATACACAGCTTTTTTGTGGCAAATACCAAGTAACCATTTTCAAAACCTTTTGAGGAATTTAATAAAGATTGCTGTAAACCAGGCGTGGGCAATTATTTCAGGCGGAGGGCCACTTACTGAGTTTCAGTAAGCCATCGAGGGCCGCATGACAGGGAGCCAGGGGCAGATATATATTAATTTTCTAAATTTTTTAGGGGCCCCGCGGGCCAGATAGAATGGCCTTGTGGGCTGATTCTGGCCCGCGGGCCACATTTTGCCCACCCCTGCTGTAATATCTCCTATATGCTCTTCTTTGTTCTTCTTTATATGTTGAACCATTTCATTTTCAGAAAAAGTGTGCACTTGGGCAGCATTTTTTTAAAAGGTCCTAAATGAAAATTCTGCCTCTTGTTATTAAAAAATTGCTTGTTCAATTGACAGTGGTTAATAGAATTACCTTGCATCATTTAGCATGGCTGAGATTCTGTGCAGTGCAACAAAAGAATCACAGCCTAAGGGGTGGAAAACCGATCCATCTCTAAGCCACTTTTGTGCCTTCCCAATAATTCTGCAGAGTCTTTGACTACCACTTTAATGACAAGGGAGAAGGTGACAGTACAGTTAAAATAGTAATGCAAATGGCAATGAAAGTCACAATTTATTCTCTTCAGCTAAGGAAAGGTATTGGATTGTCTCAGGTGCCTGAAGTCTCTCTCTTCCCCCCAACTCAGTTTCAGTTGTCTTTTTGTACCTAGGGCAAATTCAACAGTCTCTCCTGTAACAGGCTCTGGCATCTTTCTCCCTGGAATTAGAAATGTTCAAAGTGCATTTGAAGTCTCTCCTTTGAAAGGGAATTATGTGTCTCTGGCTGTGGCTCACCTATCTGTATCTGTCCCAAACTTTCTGCTGCCATGAAGGCTAGTTATTCTTTTCCTCTTGCTGTGGACAAAGACTTGTGTTCCTCTCTCTCCAGGCAGAACAAGCACTGTTCTTTTGAAGCTGAATCACAGAACTTCCTCGTTAGCTCTTCTCTTTTCCCCCAACACTCGAAATGTGTTTCACATGCTTTCTGCACAAAAGTTGGGCCAAGCATGTTGAAATCCTGTATTGCTGGCAGTTCTCCAGCTTCTGTCCTCAGACACATCATGCTGATGATTGAAGGACCTCCAGCTACCACTCTTTTTCTTTTCAGAGTAATACCCAGGGTATGCTATTTTTCAGTATAACGAACAGAGCATTCTACATCATTCTAGACTGGCCTATAAAGAATGTGGGGATTCTATAAAAACCAAAATGCCATACAAATATTTCAGTTTGCCAGCTTATGTGTTATTTTTCACTGGGAAATGTTATGCCATTCCTACAATGGCATTAGTGACAGAGGGAAACAAAGTGTGTATTTATAAATGCTAAAATGAAATCACTTAAAACACAGATGACCAAAGAGGAAGAAACTACCTTCTAATAATAAGTGATTTTTGTCGTACCGGTTTTAGTATGGAACAGTCTGTATGTTCTCCTGCCATATTCTGTTAGCA